CCACACCCACCCACAGAGTGGCTACTGAGCACTGAAAATGCAGCCAGCATGTCCAAGGGGCTCAAGTTGTCATCCTGAGGTACTTGAAATTGAGGTAGCCCGGTGGCTAGTGGTGCTGCCATGGCAGTAAATGAGGGTGGATCCAAATTCCTGAGTGAGCTAATTGAAGATGTTCATCTCTGGAGTGGGGTCACCTTGATTACCATCATTACCCTCAGGGATGATTGATGGAGGATGTAGGAGTACATGCCATTACACAAAAGCCACAGGAACACAGCTCCTCTGATCTTCCGGCCTTAGACTGAACATTGAATATACCTAGCCCCTGAGACCAGAGCGGGGACACCCAGATGCTGGACTTGGAGGTCTAAGGTCACTGCTGTCCTGAGAAGTGGCCTCAGCCACCATCAGCCCACCTGTGCAGCCCCTGGACTATCAGGCTGCTGACCCATAGCTTGGCAAGTCCACTGTCTGGGCAGAGCCAGGGGCATGGTCTGAGGTGCTCAGCAGTCGGAAGTCTTTGGGGCTGTTTGTCTAGGGTGCCGATAGAGGCACCTCTTACCAAGTTCTTGGGGACAAGAAAATGGCTCCTGCCCGTCAAACAGCAACCTACCTCAGGCTTGAGGAGTCCCACCGGTGAGCAGAGAACATAAGACCAGAGTCTCCTCAGTCCTCGGCACGCCCCTGGGAGCTGCCAACTTGCACACGGTCGCAGCTCATGAACAGAGGCGAAATCTCTCCCCTCGGGGAAGCAGTACACCCAGGGGCGAACTGTGGCATGTCTGGAAAGGCCAGTGCCCTCAGGAGTTGAGAAGGGGGAGCACTCGGAGGTACCTTTTTCCAGAACCTCTGTCATTTTCTCCGAGGTCAGCTGAAGGCCAGAGGATCGGCTGGCACGTAGGTGCAAAGAGAAATGCACTTTCAGATTTCCGTGTGCCAAAGGCGATGACTCGTGCTTACTGATAAATCCTGGGGGAATCCAGGCTAGTGTTTTTACTACCAAAAGAACTGGCTCGGGCAGCGTAACAGTGGTAATTTCTCCATTAGCTCGCAGGATAATAGGTATTATTTTAAGGTATTTATTTTTAAAGAGTGGTGTGGGGGGTGAGTGTGTGTGTGTGTAGGGTGGCTGCCTGTCGTACAAAGTGCATTAATTTTGTGCAAAAACCATCAGCCAAGGGCAAAGCGGTTGCAATTTTCCAATGGCAGAAGAACGGCCGCAGAAGAATTCGAAGAAATCAAAAAGTTCATTTATTTATTCATTTATTTATTAAATCACGCAGCCAACTCTGGAGACAAGCGTTTTAATGCAGGACTTATTAAAGGCAGCCTGGCTTCCCACTGGCTCGGCTCTCTCTCTCTCCTCTTTCTTCAGAGGTCCACTTCCTCCAAACGGAACTTAGCTTTCCCCATGGCTGCGCAGGATGTCCAGCCTTCTTTTACCTTTTAAATATGTTGTCACCAAGTTTGGGGAACAAGTAGGTGGTCAGGAGCCAGGGGCTGAAGCCCATCTTGCTGGAGTGGTCTGCCCATGCGGGAGGTCTGTGTGCAGCGCACTACCCTGCACGCAGTCCACCCCTGGCCGCACTGCGGCACCCTGGGCACGATGGGTGGGTCTCAATATTTCCCTTTTCCTTTCGCCGAGTGCAAAGGGAACCAAGATACCCGGAGATGCGAGGCCTTGTTGTCGCCAACCTCGCCAACTCCCATGTAAGAGGCGGGTTAATTATAGAATTCTTGCTGATAAATTTAAAGCTACATCATGGATATTTTTGCTAACTGTGGACTGCAGCGCAGAGCTAAGATGTGGCATATTGATTTCTTGTTGTGAAGTGAGCTGTTCAGGCTCCATTTAAGATTTTCATCTTGCATGTAGCCCTGAGCACATCATAGCACCATAAATTAGTTAAATTGCACATTTATCACAAATGTTATTTTAAGATACTGCGTAAATGTGATGGCTGGAAGATCTACAGTGGGCGGCAAGCAGCCTGGGCTTGGGCAGGGTGAGGTCGGGGTCACCTGCACACCTGAGATTCAAGCCTCCCTCACTTCTCAACACCTTCTCCTCGCTGGCACTGTCTAGAGCAGCAGTTCTCAACCTGTGGGTCACGACCCCTTTGGGGGATCAAACAGCCCCTTCACAGGGGTCGCCCAATTAATAACAGTAGCAAAATGACAGTTATGAAGTAGCAACAAAAATAATTTTATGGCTGGGGGGTCACCACAAAAGGAGGAACTGTATTAAAGGGTCACGGCATGAGGAAGGTTGAGAAGCACTGGTCTAGAGCCTCAGCTGGGCTGACCGCAGTGCTCTGTTAGCTTCGAGGAGAACTGGTCCGTATCTCCGTTAGACTTGGGACGTGGTTTGAGTCTGCCCATGGCATCCCAGGCCATCTGGGCGATACACGTCACCTCATTGGACACTGGCCGGCTTCTCAATCACAGGAGGGTTTGTTCCGTGAACTCCAGAGCAAAGTGGCCTTGCAGGACTGAGGGGGTGAGGCCCTAACCAGCATGTCCCCCATTCTGCACAGCTTAGGGGCTGCCTGTGTCAAAGGGGATGGGCAGGTGTCGTCTGGACCCTCCACTCCCGAGGGAATGTGAATGTGAGCACTCCTTTCCTGGCTGCCCCTCTGACTCCCAGTGCTAGGCGAGACATTTAACCTACCACCCACCTTGGCTGCAAATCCTCACAGCCACCCCAAATTGAAAACTCCCAAGGATCCTCCTGAAGGTGGGGTGACGAGGAGATGGGCAGGGTGTCAGGTTTGTCTCCCAAACTGTAAAGGGGGGGGGGGTTCCTGCCATCACTCGCACCCCCCACCCCCCACCTCCCTTCCAGCCACATGGGCCTTGTGGTGATGGAAGTGTTGTCAGTTTAATCTGTTCGACACAGGACTTTGGATTCTAATAAACCGATGCTATATTTAACCTGTGAAAAATTCAAGAGTGGGAATCTGGGCTTCAGGATGTGGAGATGCGGGAGGCACAGGGGGAGGGTGTCTCCGTCCCCTGGGCCAGGCTCCAGGGAGCGGGCTCCCCTAGGTCAACAGGACCAGGGGTGACCAGAGGGTGCCCACGCTGGGCCCAGAGGAGATGGGGTATGCCCAGGAGCCCAGAGGAGAACCCCCTTCCACACCACCTGGGTGCCCTCCTCACCAGGTGAGGCCATGACTCGCCCTAAACCAGGTTTTAAACTCCGGAGAGGTTGTCTGTCATTCCCCGGAGAGTGATGGATGGCTGAAAGAGAACCAAGCCGATGGGAATTTGGGAATCATTTTGACAAAAAGGGTGGGGAAGAACGAGAGAAACACGTAGGCGTGTTACTGAACATCTCTGAAAGGGCTTAATTTAAATTTTTAATAAAAGCGTATTTAAATTTTTTTTTCTTTTTTAGAGTTGAGGTGTTTTCTGTAATACAGGGATGTAATACAGCTCTCATTTGCATAATTCTAGGTTAGGAGGTACAATTCTGCCTAACTACGAGTGGTTTGAATATAGTAATAAAGGTATTTTACAATTTCACATGATGTGCCCAGTGTTTTGCTGGCATGATTTGCCAGGGCTAATAAAAGCTTGTGATTATCATATAAATGCTCTCCCCATCCCCTGCCTAGGGGTCCAGCCCCCTCCCTTGTTATCTGTGGCCGCTCTCCGAGAGTCTGGGACCCCAAAGTCCGTCTACCCAGCTCGGCGCCCTGGTCTGCTGTGGGAAACCCCAGTGTACAGGAAGCCCTCACCCAGGGCAAACCGTTCCAAAGACTGCTCTTCCTCCCTCGGGCCCCTCTACCTACTTCAGACCCCTGACTTCTCCCTACAGCCTCACCAGAGGGGGACCGACCCCCACCCACCTGACCCTCTCCAGGGGAGGACACCCACTGCAGTGTATTATGATGTCACTCATCGAGGGAGGCTCTGACCTCATGCGGATTCCCGCCCGGCTTTTGCATGCCAGGTTTGCTCTTGTTGCTTCTCCTTCCAGGGGAGCATTCTGTTGGCGCCACCCCCGAGTAAATGCTCCCTGCTCACCACACGCCAAAGTTCACTCCACCGCGCCTGATTTAAGCCCGGTGCCGGCTGCCAGCACCTGGCAGACAGAGCACCGACTCAGTCATAAACAGCTCGCACACAATTCCATTTTAATGTGCTCGTTAGTCGTAGCACATTTCAGACATAATTGTGAACGCAACACCAAAATTATAGCAAAAAGACAATTTTAATGCTGCCGTAGAAAAAAGGGTTATATGAAGAGTCACATAACGGTGCTTCATTGTCAACAACAAAACAGGGCACAGCGTGTGTTACAGTGTCTGTGCTGTTTACATGCCAATATTTTATACATAGGTTCTCAGATGGTGTCAGCTGTCAGTTACTTCTGCAAATTAACTGCCAAAAATGGAGGCGAACAGAATTGCTGGGAGAGCCGGTAACCACGGGTTACCTTTCAGAGAAGCCTACCGATGAAGCTGCAGTGTGGGATCTTAGGAGAATCATTAGGAAGAACAAAACAGAAAGTTACCAATGGAAATAAGAAGGTATCCAACCACACGGAACGGCAACCAAGAGGGTTCATAAATAAGTGGAAGGGGTGGGATCACAGAATGCCCCATAACTTTTAAGCAAAGTATTACTTTTTTATCAATGTTTAGGAAATACAGTACAAGTTCTTTTTCTTTTTTGCCCTTTTTTGGGTTCTTTTTTCTTCTCCTTTTCAAATTAGCTTAACCCTTTGAGCACTGAGCTAATTTTGAATGCACTCTGATTTCTAACTTGAAAGACTGTGTGCAACGTGGTTCGGCTGCCTCTGCGGCGGCTGCATTTCGTTCTGAGCCGCCTTCACCCAGACTGCTCGGAACAAATGGCAATGCAGTGCTAATAAATATGCATAATTTAAACATGAGCCTCTATCAATATAGATGTACTGTATCGCAAAACAAACGATCATACTTTGCTTTCGGATAATGTTTCTGTATACTTTATAAATGCTATCTGTGGTATCTTCTGTATAATTTACAATGTTTGCTTGTAAAAAAAACAAAAGAAACAAACAAAGACAAAACCCATAGACCTTAAAAAAAACAACAACAAGAAACAAAAACAACAAAATATACACTATACAGAGGCACAGCATATGCCCAGAGCATAGTAGGTACATAAAACACGGTTGGTATAAATGCAGGGGGAGGGGAGAAAAAGAAAAGAAAGAAACTGGTCATTTAATCACAATCACATTTTTTCTTTCATAAGAGAGTCTGAAATCTATACAATATATACATCTATGTTTCAATGTGAAAATAATATTCTTTTAAATTTCAAGGCGTGTAATACCCCTGCAGACCTGCATAAGTGGAGGTTCATATTATTCATTATAACTAAGCTGGTAGAGGAGTTTAAAAAACAGAGCTTCATACATTATTAGTATTTCATTTTATAACCAAATTAATGCAAAAGTGCTTCAAAGTACTCAGGGCTGAAGACGAAAGGGTGAGGAGGCCTAGCACACCCGGCCGCGTGGAGGAAGTGTGCCCGGGTTCGTTATAAATGCTTAAACTGTCTGTTAACGCATGCAGCTTGAAGCACCAGAGCGATGCTTACGACTAAATCCCATTTACACAAAGTCCCAAACACTTTACCACTGCATTTTAACCTTCATAGTTTTACCAGTCACAACAGCTGATGATGCACCTCTATGAAACACTGTACACGTATACAAAACGGTCCGGCCCAGGCTGGTGCTCTGCGGTTAAAATAAGAACATGTGCCAAGAACAAGACGGAGGGGGCCCGGAAGTGCCTGCCCGGGCTTCCCTCAAAGCAAAGGAAGAGTCCCTCCCGTCAAAAGCCAACGCTACTGCTTCTCCAGCTCGGACACGTACAGGAGGTGGTCTTCTGGGGACTTCCCGTGGGTTTTGCTAAGGTGGAGTTTGACGGCGTGCTTGCTCGCAAAGGTCCGATTGCACAGCTTGCACTGGTAGGAGGTCCCCAGGTCCTCCTCGGGGGAGGACGTCACCAATTTTTCTGAGGGGGACTTGGTTTGTGCTATTTGATTGTTAATCTGTTCGGTGGACAGTTTGGACAGGTCCCGCAGGCGGAAGCCCAGGTGAGACTCGAGATGACTGATGTACGTGGAAGGGGTCCTGATTTGTGATGCGCAGTCGTTACAAAAGAACACGGGGTGGCCAGTGTCCAGGTTTTTGAGGAACTTTGTTCCACCTGTCCTTCGGAGCTGGTACTTCACATTGGCCAGCCAGTGGCTGATGGTGGTCATGGAGAGACCCGTGAACCTGGAGATGTGCATCCGCTCCTGGGGGCTCAGGTCGGACATGATGTACTTGCCCTCGGAGGTCTGCCGCAGGCTGGCGGCAAACTGGGCCTGCAGGATCAGCAGGTGCTGGGGGTTCCAGTTTGACTGGCGGCCCTTCCTCTTCTGCGCGGGCGTCGCCTCCTCGGCCTCCTCCAAGGTGGCCCCGTCAATGTCAGACTTCTCGGAGACGCTGGAAGGAGTGGAGGATTTTGACGTGTGGCTCTCTGTCAAGTTCTTGAGCATGTCAGAGATATCTGACAAGGCATTCTCGCGGAGCGGCGAGTTTGACATGAATGATACGACGGCAGATGTCTTCGCCGTTGTCACCGTGGATGAGGAGGTTGCCGGGGATGCGGACGTGGGCGACAAAAGCACTGAACCCAAAGAGCACCCTTTGTCACCCTTCCCTTTCGTCAAGTCGATGGGCTGGTCGTTGTTGACGTGGTAGAAATAGCGGTCCAAGTGGTCCACCTTCTTGGACTGGAGGGGTGGGGGGGTGGCGACGGCCGCCTTCTCCGCCAAGCTATTGCTCATCTTGAAGAGCATGCTCATGGGGTCCAGGGCGGGCAGGGAGGGCTTGGCAGCCTTGCCCAGGTGGATGTTCATGACCGACTGGAGGGCGCTCAGCGGGTTGACGAAAGGCTGCTCTGGCGGGTGGTCAGTGATGATGGCGGTGCTGCTACTCAGGGGCTTCCTCAGCTCCTTGCCGTTCTCCGCTGGCTCGGCCGGTGGGCTCCCCTCCTTGCCCCCGTCCTGCTGGGGCCTGGGGCTGCTCTCCTGGCTGTGGAAGCCCCCGTCGCCGGGGGCTTCCATCTTGATGGGCTCGCTAACTTCGCTGCTGCATGGGGAAGGGGTGGCCCGCTTGGGCGGGGACAGCTTGCCCTCCGGCTCCTTCATCTTCTCCTCGGCTTTGGCGACTTTCTCCGTGACCTTTTTCACCAGCTCCTCCATGGCGTGGAAGTTGGTCTTGGGCATGGGGGAGGTCTGGCTGCTGGCTGGCGAGACCAGCGGCTGGCTCTTGGTGGGAGACACGGTGTCGCTGGTGGCAAACATGGGCTTGAGGGCCGTGCTTTTCCCCGAGGCGCCCAGCGACAGCTTCATCATGTTGGGGAGCTGGTAGGCGGCATGGATGCTGGGGTAGCCCCCCCAGCTGGGGGTGCCATTCTGCGCCTTGTTGATTGCTGATGTCACGGTGTTTTCTAAGGACTTCAGGATATCGAGTCCCCCCTTGGGACTCTCCTCTAAGTCGTTTTCGGTCAAGTAATGGTATTTGGAAGAGATGTCATACTTCTCCTCTTCCTCGCCGGCCTTCTCCTTTTCCTTGGGCTTCTCGTCGTTGACGACTTTCTCCTTGTCCACCTCCTTCTTGACCTCCACGTTCAGTTTCGGGGAGACGCTGGAAGGTGTGTTGGAGGGGGACGTGAAGGTGGTGGCCGCCAGGGGCACCGACTGAACCTTCTCGTCAATCAGGGTCGTGATGGTGGGCGTGATGGGTGTCTCCATGATGGGCTTCCCCTTCTTCATGGCAGAGTTGGTGACCTTGATGAAGTGGCCGGTCACCATCATGTGGGCCGTGAGCTCCTGCAGGGTGTCGTGGGAGCTGCCGCACTCCATGCACTTCAGGATCTGGGACTTGCGGGCCTCGAAGTGCCAGGCGTAGCTGGCCCCGTTCTGGTGGCCATAGCGGTTGTTCGGGGTGATGTACGGGTTGGCATTCTTCTGCAGCGCGTCCGTGGTGTCAGCCAGCGCAGCCTTGGGGGTGCCGCCGGTGGAGTCCGGCGAGCTGGGGAGCTCCAGCTCCAGCAGCGCTTTCTTCCGCGAGGCTGGGAGGATTTTGGCGGCGACGGGGGTGACGGGTTCCTTCAGAGGCACTTTTTGGTAGTGTTTTGTTTTGATCATATGGACACTCAAGTCCTGGAGGGACTCAAAGGAGTGGCCGCAGTACATGCACTTCAACACCTTCTGGGCATCTTCCTTCCCCTCCATCTCCAGCAAGGAGCGCTTGCGCGGCTTGGACCAGCGCTTGGGGTTGTTGTTATCGGTCTCGTGGTTGTCGTCTCGGTAGTGGCCGGTCTCGTTCATGTGCACCGTCAGCTCCACCAGCGTGTCGTAGGCTGCGCTGCAGTCCTTGCAGCGGAACTTGCTGGCCCCGGTGAAGATGGAGCCGTAGAGCTTGCTGCTCTGCCGGTACAGCTGCACGGTGCTGAACAGGCTGGGCTCGGGCAGCAGGCGGCTCTGGGACACCTGCTGCAGCGTCTTGGCCATGGCGCTCTGGTGCCAGTCGAAGCTGCCGCTGCCACAGCTGCTGCTACTGCTGCTGCTGCTGCTGCTGCTGCCGTTGTTGTTCTTCTCGGACGAGGGCGGGTGCAGGTTGAGGTTGAGGTTGGACCAGTAGGAGTTGGAGAGGAAGTTGTTGTACACGGCCTTCATCTGCTCCAAGCTGTCCGACACGGTGGTGTCTTCCAGGGGCACCGTGACCTCCTTCGCCTCCTCTTCATTCTTGATGGAGCCGCTCTCAAAGTCAGCCATGCGGTCACTGGTCTCACTGGTGTGCGACTCACTGTCCATCTCGTGGCTGGAAAACTCGGCCGCCGGGGAGTTCTGGTAACTGGAGCAGGGCTTGCCGAGCTCCTTCTCCGGACACGCGTATTTGGCCGCGGGCTCTCCATCGGCCGGGTTCTCCTCCGGGTCTACGTCTTCATCCACCAGGGCAGCAGCCTTGAGCTCATCTGAAACATAGGCTGCCGTGGGAACAGGTGGGAGATCAGGCGGGCAGGCAGGAAGGCAGAGAGGGAGGGAGGGAGAGAGAGAGGAAATGAAAAAAGGAAGGGGGGGGGATACCATTAGTAAGTGTTCATCTTACCTACGGTATTTTCTCCGCTCCCACGAAAAATTGTAGACAGGCACATTTATTTGTAAAATTAAATAGTTAAAATGTGGTGTTTCTTTGGAGCAAAAAAAAAAATCTGCTCTTCAAACATAATTTGCCACCTTATTCTTCTCAAGGGGCAACAGCTTGAAATTAAAACTAAATTTGAAATTAATGAAGCACATTCTGGAGGTGGCATTCATTTCTAAAGTAATAAATTACTTGTATCAACCTTAGAGACAGCAGTTCCTGTCTGTCAATTAATATGTCTTATGCTTCTCCTACCCCTAATGCATTTCTTAACAGACAGATTCACAATTTAAATTAAGCAAGCATTTTTTACTCATTACATTTTTTGAGACTCAATCTTTAATAAATATAAAGTACAAAAACATCAATAAAATGTTCACAAAGTAAAAAGAAAGTCTATCAATGACAATCCGGGTATGTGTGTGAGGGGGGAGGGGGCAACCAGGTCTGCTGGCTTCTTTTTTTTTTTCCTCTTTCTTCCGGCTGGAGGAGCAGGTTCTTGTGAAAAGCCTCGAGGATGTGTGCCTGAGCCAAGTCCCAGGAGGACAACCCCTGCCCTGGCCCCAGTCCCCCAAATGCCCATTCCCCCACCCTCACCCCCAATATATGCGATTCATGCAGAATTGAGCTAGAGCAAGTTGAGGAGAATTGGTATGCGGAGCTCATCTGGCTATATAAATATATACAAGACCTTACAGAGGCCTTACAAATGTCAAAGTGTTTGCTCTTTAGACTACTTTGTCAATATTTACTCTGCATAAGCTCCATGGGCATCCACCAGGGATCCTGTCTTTCCGGGAGCAATGGAGCCAGGGAGCACTTCCTCTGTGGGTGGAGAGCAGGCGCAAGTCGCTAAGGCTTCAGGAGACACCAAACTGTGAGACTGCTCATGCGACCAGGAGAGAGGGAAAGGACTTTTTATTGCCCCATTCCCTCGCATTCCCTCGTGACTCAGCTTATCCTTCTGGGAGCTGGTCTCACACAGTCATTTGGGTGGTCCTCCTACGGACAAGCAGGCATGGCCAGCCTTGTGGCCCAGAATGCTTTTAAGTCCTCGGAGAAGGGGGGGAGAGTGGCTTTTGCTTGTGTCCGTTCCTGAATACCTGTTTGTTTCAAAAGACCCGTACATGCTTAATTGCAAGGTCGTTTCCAAAAAGGAGAAGCTAAAACAAACAACTTAGAACATAAAAGCTGAGTTTGCTGGTAACACGCACGCTCATAACTGTAAAGATGGTTCCTTTGCTTGCCCCAGGTTAGTCTGACACCAGAAACAAAACTTCCCTAAAGTGGCTCAAATAAGTTAGACTCCTGTTAGCCAAATGAAGGCACCCTAGTGGCACAATGGGTTAAGTGCTGGGCTGCACTCACAGCCCCCAGCTGCTCTGGGGGAAAAGACGAGGCTATCCGCACGTGTTGGGACTGACACTCTTGGACACCCCATAGGAGCAGTGTCCCTCTGTTATGGGTTGGGATCAGCTGGATCGGAATGGGTGGTTTAGCCAAAGGGATTGTTGTTCCTCCGAGTTCTTCTTCTGGATGGAGTGCGATTCTCTCCCGCTGAATCCTCCCCCTTGGAGCACTAAGTTTACGAGCTGACATGCTGCAGAGTGATCCCAACAGTGATGCTATTTCAACTTGGCTAGAGGAGTTTCCCAGGCACCTGCATTCACATCAGGATGTTGGTGGTGGTTGCCATGGCGTTGATGCTATCTCCTGGTGACCCCATGCGTGGACCTAGCTGGAACTGCTTCCCCTTCAGAAGCAGACTGCCAGGCCTGTGCTCTGAGGCACCTCCCGGTGGTTTGGAACCATCAACCTTTCAGCTAGTGGGTGCACCCCCTTTTCTGCCACCCAGGGCAGAGGTGGGAAGATTTCCATTCCTGTGTGAATTATGATGCAAGAGCCAGGCAATGCCATATACCAGCAGCCGCGGGGAAGGGTGCTGCTCACATCCACTGAGGCTGGAAGTGCTGGGGCGAATCAGCAGTTTGAGATCATGCACTTAGAAATGGCATGCCCCGATGAAGAATAAGAATGTCGTGCTGGTACGGGAATCAAAAGCCAACCCTCATTGCCATCGAGTCAATGCTGACTCATAGGACAGGCCTGTTTAACTGGGCTGTCGAACTGCCCCTGTATAACTGTTCACGGGCAGAGAAAGCCCCATCTTTCTCCCTCAGATCGGCTACTGGTTTCAAACTGCTCACCTTCTGGATCATGGTCCCACAAGTCACCACTACCCCACCTGGTTAAGTAACAGGGAAGAAAAATACACAAAATCCAGCTATATCTCACTGTCCCTCAACACCCTTCCTCCACTCGCAACATACATGGAGAACTGATGAGCAGGGTGTGGCAGCCAGGATGCACTCCACGCTTTTCAGCAGGATTGCACCCCCCATACGGGCTCCTCACTCACTGACCATTCTGTTATCCGGCATCCTGCATTCACAAGACTAGTGAAATATCAACTGTCCAAACATGTTTCACATGAACCTGGGTTTCCTCCCCATGTGCAGCACCCAGCCCGCAGAGCCATGCATGTCTGCCAGGTGCACAGCCGAGGCAGCCGGTTCTCCCAAAGGCCTCTCGCCCGGTCTTTCCCACCACTGTTCTTTGCAAACAGTTGTGCCTGGGGCAGATGTGGAAGGAGCAGGGGGCCCAGCAGGGCGGGGCAGGCAGGAGAGGTTGCTGCTGCTGCTCCCTCTACTCAAGTGCCCACCCAGAGCGACCAGGTCCTGTGTGGGAAGATGCTCGGGATAACGTGGGACAAAAGGCTTCAGCAGAAGCTGGCTGCTCTTGTCCCTGCCCCACGACTGCTGGAACCTTCTGAGCAGCAGTTCCTCTCCAAGCTCTCTGCCGTGGGTTCCAAGTCCTCTAAGACCTGCAGTGGTCTCTGGCTCCTGTGGGACCTCCCTGGCCTGTGGGGTGGCAGCAGATGGCTGGGGTTATAGAGGGGATGGGACAGCTATAGGGGTTATGGTCTCAGGTAGCAACCTCACCAACTATATTGACCCCCAGGCCTGCTCAAGCGCCAGGCCTGACAGCAGGGCCTTGGAGTCCAGAGCATAGAGGTGTTGCAAAACAATGTGGTCTTTGTGCTGGAAGATGACCCCCCCCCCCCAGGTTGGAAGGCACCCAAAACACAGTCTTGAGCTGACCCACATGGGGAAGGAGGGGCCAGGCCAGGCGGTGTGTGGCTCTGGTGGACAGGGGGTCACCCACCATGAGGTGGAGCAAAGAAAATGCCAACCAAGAACAATCACCTCAGAAAATCCAGACTTGAAGGCTTCTACGGGGTCGGGGGGGGGGGGGGGGCTGGAGAGCAGCAGATGGAGGGGAAAGTACTTGACTGGGCTTGCTGACCCCAGAAATGTCGCAAGGTCTCCACCACTGGAGTTCATAGAAGGACCGAATCAGAGCACCGTGAATCCAAGCATGCAGAAAGGAGTCTGAAGGAGCAAGGGTTAGACCAGGGGGTGGCTTCCCTAGACAGCCCACGTGGACAGCACTCCCACGAAAAGGGCTGCATTTTGAATCCCCGTCAGAGGAGGAATCCAATGGCTTGTGTCGCTACACCCGAGGCTCATGGGAACCCTCCCCTACCCCCCACCCCCCACCCCAGTAGAAGGGAGGTGTATCCAAGGCCCTTCTCTCTTGGCAGTGTCCCTTGGAGTCCCCATCTACAGCTGACTGCTTCTCTCCCTGCAAAGAGTGAACTCTAGAAGGGCCAGGCCAGAAGGGCCACACATGTGGCCACCCCAGGAGGATACCAGGCAACCAGAGGAAGCAGGGGGCCGGGGCAGGTGGCCCATTGTGGCATGAACCAAGAATGTAATTATTTTAAGTCGATTCTGACCCCTGGCAACACCTGCACATTTTTGATGATGAGTTTTTGAAGCAGCTCAGCAGATCTTTCTTCTGAGGTGGTTCTGGGTCGACTTAAACCTCCAGCCTTTCAGAGATCAGCCGAGCTGGGTAACGGGGTGCCTCACCCACGGATTCCCATGGCATGGAGGCCATGAGTTAAGAGGGGGAAGCTAACAGCTTTGCAAGACGCCCTGCTCCAAGCAGGGGCCCTAAGCAAGCAGCTCCATCCCAGCGCGGGGTGTACAGCCGGCTGGCCGGAGCACCTGTCCTCACAGCCCACGTTTCTGAGCAGCTCCCTGCCTGGGCCAGCCCCCAGTGTCCTTGCAGCCATTATGAACACTGCCTGGCAGTATGAGAATGTCATCAATCTGAGAAGTAAGGAGGACCTTCATGTTGAAAGAAAGCTAAGGCCAGCTCCCCCAGGTGGGCACGTATCTGGGGACAGTGTTGAACACTCTAGTCCAACAGGACCTGTGCCCCAGCCCCAGCCCACACACGCCTGACCCAATCGGAGTTTCTGAGGCTCCTGACACGGGAACTTGGTGCCACCCATGGCAGGAACCTCACCACTTTCATCTGGCCTCTATCTGTTCACACCTGACTGTGGAAAGAAGTCTACAGCTTCTCCTCACTGATTCTTCCAGCCAGGTTAAAAATCCTTCCCCAATCTCTGCGGTAAGGGAACTCCTCAGAGACTTTCCACCATGCTTGGAAGAAAGTCCAAATTCCTCAGCATGGCCCTAAGGTCTTCCACCATCTCACTTCTGCCTCCTCTTTGGCCTCTCTCACGTTCTAGAAAGTTTCCAGACTGCTCGTTGTCTCACTTGCCTTTTCTGCTGGAAAGACCTAAGCTACATCTCCTTAAGCCACAGGGGAAGGTTACTTCCGGGGTTAGGCAGCTTCTCTGACCCCAGTCTCTGTCCTTTTGGCATCCTCTCCTTTCTCAGGTCAAGGCATGCCCCTGACTTTTAGCTTCATCGGGTCAGGACCGGTTCTTTACTTTATCTGCCACAACCCTGGGCTCTGACTCTCAGTCTACCACCCAGTAACTATCTACGGATCTGCCCCATTGTGCCTGACTTCTCCATGCCATTGATCCCTAAACAGTGGCCAAGACATCTCATGAAGGTCCAGACTGTCCAGCCCCAGAGAAAGGAGACGGGCTGCAGTCAAGAGTCCACCGAGGGTTCGCTCTCTCAGGGTGTGGCCAATGGTGTTTTCAGCAGGGCTTGGTCGTGGGTCCAGTGGCTGGGCCTCCCGGAAGGATGATGGAAGGGTGAGAAAAACACCCTCAGGTGGTCCCATCATGCTGGAGCCATCCCAGGCCCTGGCCCACACTGTACACGCCTCACTCCGTCAAGAACAAATCTCCTAACTCCCTCTGACACAAGTCAAACAGAAATGCTTGCTGCCAGCTCCAGCAGAGGAGGCAGCTGAAGGGTGCAGGCAGGGAGCGCTCACAGGAAGCCAGTCAGCAGCTACAAGGATGCAAAGAGTAAGCAAGCAGGAGCAGCACTTAGCCTGGGGGCAGCCCTGCATTTCTGTTTTCTCCAAGCCACTCCACCAAAAAGTCCCTCTTCAGACAGGAGCCCTTGCAGAAGGGTTCCAGGTAAACACCCCTGCACTGAAAAGTAAGGCCTCGAGTCAAGCAGACAGCGAGCCACACCTTGAGAGCCTACTGACAAGGACACGTTTCCAGACCACGGGATGAACCCAAGTAAAAACTCCTGAGCTCACAGGTGATTCCTACGAAACTTTCCAGCCTACGTTCCCGGAAAACCAAGTAATCAAAAAGATAATGGTCCTAAATAAAATGTGCAGGCATCTGAGCCCGTTCCTCCTTATTGCATGTGACCGTCCCTTGAGTCTGAGCACACCATTCTGGAGAGGAGAGAAAGGGGGGTTCCAACCCATGAAAGGGGGCCTCACCCTCAGGAGCTTGTCTGTACCCCTCATTCCAGGCTAGGAGCCCTCAGGGGTGGGGGGGGGAGGGTCAGTGGAGTACAAGGGGGATTTGTCTCAATCTTGGGACCCAGTGTCAAGAAATTGCCCAGAAGGCATGTGAAGGCAACCATGATCCTGAGATGTGTCCTAAGATGTGATCCTGAGATGTGTCCCCTCAGGGGAATCCACACCTGCACCCGCAGTGGTTATGCACTGGGCTTTTAACAGGGTCCTTGCCCACAGCTCACATGGCACAATGGCTCTGTTCAAGTTGGGCAGAGTGGCCACTGTGCCAATTAGAAGGTTGAAGGCAGTAACTCCCACACTCATATGGATTATCATCGTGCACTCTACCACTAGGTAAAAGGACACCAATATGTTTCATATCAATATAAAACAGCAAGCCAAGGCATAGGAGCCCTAGTGGAATAGTGGTTACGCATTGAGCTTCTAATGGCAATGTCAGCAGTTTGAAACCACCAGCAAGAGAAAGACAGGGCTTTCTATACCCATAAAGAGTTCTACCCTGCCCTAAAGGGTTGCTGTGAGTTGGCATCAACTCAATGGCAGTGGGTTTGGGTTTTTTGGGGAAGCCTGGGCATAATGGAATCCATCTCCAGGCACGTGGTAACGTCTCCCATCCGACTGTTTGGAATCGCCTCCAACAGGGGAGAGGAGGGCGCACTCTTGGTCCGGAAGGGGCTGCAGGTGGGCAGGTGAGGGAGTGAGCAGGTTGGTGATATGAAGGAAAAAGGCATGGTCATGCCAGGTTCCTCGAAGGGATTTCAAAGGACACTGTCCTGTGCAGATAAGCATTTCAGGGGCTCTAAAATGAAGGCTCGTGAAGGACAACCCTTGGTTTTCAAATTCCCCAACTTCCCTTTGCTAGGGAAACACGTCCTAGGGGTTGGCTTTCTCCTCTGCCTGCACAGTGTGGGGATGGAGGCGCCCCAGTGACCTTCCCCAGAAGGGAAGGAGGACACAGCAAGGGGACAAGGAGAGAGCAGAGCAGAGTACAAGGCAAAGAAGAACCAGGAACAGAACGGCAGCAGAAGGAAAAGCAGCAGAGATTGAGATTCGGAGAAGGAGGCGACAGGAAAGGGAAGAGGAAGGGAGACAGGAGGTGAGAGCAGAAAACCAGCTAGGGGCAGAGAGAGAGAGAGAGAGAGAGAGAGAGAGGCTGATCACGGGGCAACGTCAGGGAGGCAGAGAGGAGATACATGATGAGATTTGAGAGAAGAGAGGATGATTTCTGAGAAGGGGTATAAAAGTGGAAAGAGCTAAGGGCTTAGGAGTCCCCGGAGAGAGGTGGTCCTGAGGACACCCACCTGCTCTAAGGTTGGCGACCCCAAGTCCTTCCTCTGCCCAAGAAGGAAGTTAACTCCTCAGCCAGCCCAGGTGAACT